CCTAAGATAATTTTGCCCGCCTGTCTTCTGATGACGAGATACTAACATGTACTTAGTTTTTTCTGAATTTACTTCCAGCCCCACTTGTCTACCAGCCTCTAGAAAAACTTCTGCGTTCCTCTTTATTGTATTTATATCGTCCCCCATTAAATTAACATTATCAGCTTAAGCCAATAACTGATGTGTCCCGTTCAATTGCAAACCCTCCTGTCTACCTTGGACCTTCCTGATGGCGTATTCTAGCGCAAAGTTAAAGAGCAAGGGAGACAAAGCATCTCCTTGTTTTAGACCGTTCTTGATGAGGAATGTCTCAGATACATATTTACCTACTATCTTCTTTGACATACCAAATTCTATGAGAATATTGTATAACACTTCTCTCTCAACAGAGGCATAGGTTTTTTTAAAAATCTTTTCACAATTGATGGACTCCCATTTTTTCTCTAGTATCTGACGGATGCAGAAGATCTGATCAATTTTTGACCTGTGACGTCTAAGGTAGAATAACAACACCAGTTCTGACGTGTTGCTGCTTACCTTGGGGGACCGCCCGAGACTGCCGGCCTCACTGTCCTGAGCCTGGTACGGACTCGAGATGTTGATCGGCACAGTTATCATTATGCCTCGAAGCCATGCAATCCACAAACAGCCAGCTGTATGACACGACCAGTATCAGTAACACGAAACTCTTGTGCTGTCTCATGACTTATCGGACTTCGTTTACTAAATATTAGTCTGGCCCTGTTCTTACGAGTTCGTGGATAACACACGCATCAGGAAATCGGTATCCACAACTCTAGCTTCTGAATTGGGAGTTACTTCATTCGAATGCTCGATGGGACACTGGGTACACTGACTGCGACCTTTGTGACTTTCTCAGTGGGGTCTACCTTTAAACGACCTCTTGGTAAATACTATGCTACTTCATATGACTCCAGTTCAACATTCACTATACTAATGTATCATATCTGACACCACGTGAAGTCTGCATCGTTAAACAAATCCATGAGAGAAAAGAATGCAGAACGCTGAGTTAAAGTTTAGATTTCATATGTTCTTTAAAGCCCATTTGAGAATCTTATTGTCCCTCAACTAGTAAACAAATATCCCACCATTTATGTTTCCAAAATATTCATAACCGTGTTAACAAAAACTCATCACGATGTCATATCCTGATCCATATGGATTAAATCCACAAAATCACACGTCAATATTAATATCAAAGTTATATCTATGTGTAGGAGGCCCGCTTAAAAGATTTCCGAATACGTCAATCTCATATTCCTTCACTAGGCCACCATAATAACAGACTACGTGGTGAAGTGTACACATTGTGAAGCTTCTAATTAGGCTACTTTCTTCAGCCTTATACTAATTCCTCTACAAAAATATTCCCCACAGCAATTAGCTCTCACGCACTAACGTTCCAGGTCTTCTGGGTTGAAATATGTTCTCGAAAAAACGTTTTGAACCTAACCTAACATTATCAACCATAACAGCGTCCATTTCGTAAAAACAGACGACTGTCTGCATTGGAATAGCTCCTCAGAATTGCAAAAACAGATTACACAAAACTATTATGTTACGTGTAGGATTTGATGTTTCGACGACGGTGAGTACGAAGATGGCTGCCTTCTGGGTTGAGACGCCGTGAATTCTGGTAGAAGTTTAAATTTTACAACCCCAAAAGACAGCCATCTTATAATGTTACCTGTCATTTTTCATGGGTTTGAAACTTTGTCTGTCTCCCCTCCCCCATGGCAAGAATATAGATTAACACTGTCTGAGAAGAAGTTATTGAGGAGAACATTTTGAACTAAAAGGCAGAATTAACAAAAGAATGGAGAAATGCATGTACTGTTCATCAATCCCTTGATTCTCGTGTAACACGAGATACACGAGACAGACGTGTAGCACGCATGTGACAGATGGAAAATACTATTAAAACTACCTTAAAGAACTAGCATTCGAGGATGCATTCTGGATTAATCTGGCCCAGAATGAGTTCCAGATGTCGATCTCGTGAAAGACGGGAAATCTGCCAACCAGCTGAATGGATCATTCTCTCCATACATCTTCCCCACCCATAGCAGCTAAGCAAGTAACTCAAAAACGTTTTACTTTTTCGAAACTCACTGTCCGATTAAACGTGAAACAGCACAAGCTTAACCTGTCCGAGTAATTTTGTAAGAATCCAGTTAAGACAACGCAGAACACATACACTTATCACAACACAGTCACTGATGATTGTCGTTTGCACGTCCGGAAAACCAGAGACGGTTCAGACAGCGTCCTGTGATTCCGCGCGCAGGAAACAGACTGCAATCGCCTGTTCCTCTTCGGACGCTTTTCTCTCTCTGCTATGACGCACCATCTCTAAATTTATCCGGAGAGTAGCACCGTTTCTCGTAACATTTGTGCACACTTCTGATTGTGGAAAGAGCTCAGCGTACGACTCTAAAATAAATCGTCAAAAGTCACTGACTTACAGAACAAATAATTCACTCGTCACCCTCGATGATGAAGGCAGCAAGGACCTCTGTAAAGTTGGTAAACTTCTACCAGACTACACGGCGCAACAACCCAGAAGACAGAAATCTTCATACTCATCGCCCTGATGACGGAGGCAGTATGACCTCTGAAACGTTGGTTAACATCGACCAGACTACTTTTTGAGGTCATACTGCCTCCGTCATCAGGGTGATGACGGAGGCAGTATGACCTCTGAAACGTTGGTTAACATCGACCAGACTACACAGCGCAACAACCCAGAAGACAGAAATCTTCATACTAAGAATCGCCCTGATGACGGAGGCAGTATGACCTCTGAAACGTTGGTTAACATCGACCAGACTACACAGCGCAAGAACCCAGAAGACAGAAATCTTCGGACTCACTGCCGTGAGCTGTTTAACACTTCCAGGACTACAACACGTCACAGGGCCTGAGAAACATTTCACATTGCGGCAGTTTCCTGAGCAGTGCCCGGGGAGTCTTCATTTTACGCACCTCCTGTGAGCCTTGCACGTGCACGATGTGACTCTCAAACCGCAGTGACGCAAATCTAGTTTTCGATTAGCGATAAAACGAGTGCAAGATGAAGGCATCGATCCACTTATATTCGTAATTTACCAACATTTATGTACGTTTCCCACGCCTCTCTCCTTGTAAAATAAATCATAACCACAGCTTCAAGGTCGTTGAACATACCTGGTTTACAATTTATGACGCTGCGGTCGTGCTTGGAGTGCATGGTCGGCCGGCGCTCTGTTGATGTGGGCGGGAGTTTTGCGCGCTCCTCCCACGAGTCACAGGCGAATCAGTTTCATTGCGTCCCTCGTTGGGGATTGACGTTGATAATATGGTGTATAGTATTAAGCAACGTGTGTTCTTAGTCGAAATATATGCCAAATAAGAACAATTCAAGTCCCGCCGACATCAACAGCGCCGGCCGACCACGCAATGCAAGCACGACCGCAGCCTCATAAATTGTAAACCCGGTATAAAGAAATTACAACGCATTCGTCGTCACCTCGAGCAAGAATGGGAATACGTATCTGATTTCAATTACTTCGAGACAGAAACTGACAGATTTATCAGCAAAATGGTGGCACTGAATTGCAAAAAGTGGGCTTCGTTTGCTTTGTCAATGACTAGGGGGCTTTAACGGATTTCGTCATACTATACATTGACATAAATATGTATCTACACATAAATACTTGCCACCAAAGACTATCGGAAAATGAAAAGAAAACACATGTTGAATAACACTAACGATGATGAACTAGTGTGTCTGTGTATATACAGGGTTATTCAAAAAGATTTTAAAGATTTTAAAAAATCACTACACGTAGTACAATTGAGGTAGGAATACGAATCTTGTTTTATTATGTAGCAAAACTCTCAAAGTTTCTTTACCTGCATTATAAATGCTCAATATGTGCGCCTTTTGTCACTCTACAGACATCTACACGATGGTCCATTCCTTCCCACACACGCCCCAGCGTGTCAGCGGTGATGTTTAGAATGGCGGCTTTGTTACGCACCTTCTACTGCTATTAACTTACAATTGCAAGCGGGTTCTCACGTTATGTTATTTTATTCTGAAACAAATTTATTTATTATTATTTTGTGGACTTATCACTTAAAATTAAATGTTTAAACTTGGCTATAGTTATCTAAAACGGACTGCATGACTAGAATTTGATTCCTGGCAAGGCACCACGTCCACTCAGGCTCCGGATGCACCCATAATTACACTGTCCTTTCCCGTGGGACAGGAAAATGACCACTCAACTCCATCTAGTGTCGAGGTTATACCGCCACTCCCCCATACGTCTGCATGGCGTGGTACTTTGTTAACTACCTTTACTGTACGCGGGCCGCAGGTTGAGAGCGTCTGGTCTCCATGAACATCCCAGTTTGCGAAACAAGGTTAAACTGGGACGTTATAGATTTGGAAACCGGTCAACTTTTGCTGGCCGGCTATAACTGTTTGAATTCTGTGCCACTGCCATGTTCGTCCTCCACTTGTCGCGGCAACCTTAAACCTTGGAATGCAACAGTCGCAAGTTGTCGAAAGATAATGCCGTACTGTCTTCGTACGTGTCTAAATGCCTCGCGCCTTCTGGTAGTTGGATTCTGTCCTCTGAGTATTCTAATCGCTTATAGGCAAATTGTCCCTGGCGCTTAAATAAGCTCCATTCCATGCAGACGCAAGAGGAGTGGAGGTTTTGCTCCACTCTTTCTTAACCTAGGCACTTGTTGGAGGTGAGTGGTTAGCTTCAATCACCGGACGCTTTAACCCCGAGGAAATAAACCCGATACCCACTGAATAGGAGACATCGTGCATTGGCTGTTTGTGAGGCGCTGTCCTAGGTTACAGCGGCCAAAATCCGAGATCAAATATTTTGATATTTTCGCGCAGGTCGCTGCACTTTCCAGTAAGGCGCATGCGCAAGGAAGCT